TTTTAGGAAGTTGTTTTGTGGGCATGGAAGATACGTTGTGTCTTTCGTATGTATGAGAAGGTTGTATTGGGGGGGGGGGAAGTATTTGTTCCAGGAGCACACATTTCTCTTATTTGACACGTGGTATGTGTGGTGAGGCTAGTGAGGTTTAAATGGCAGGCTTCCACTCCTTCTTTGTGTGGGATGTTGTTGCACATGTCTACCACGTCAATGGCTAAAATGTTGGTGTTGTCTGTAATTTGTCTTTTTTCATTCAGTGTTTTAATTTTTTGAAGGACATGTAAATTGTTCTTGACTCAATGGTTGCCACAGAAGTCGGGACTAGGGGTTGAAAATTCTGTCTAGCCAGTAGGAGACTCATTATCATCATCCTCCTCCTCCTCCTCCTCATCATCATCATGTTTTAAAGTAGAAAAAATTATACTTGAGACTTAGATAGGATTGGTCGTATTTATTCAAATGCTCGTATAGGCCTAGATGTTCAACGTTTTGCCAGTAAAGCTTCATCAAGAACATAGCATATGAGAACGTATTGGTGCGATTTGGACAATAATATCTTAAAGAGCCGAAGCTCGGAAAAAGAAAAAAGAAACGCTAACTAGTTACTGGCATGGTCCTGGCTGAGAGTATAAATACGTTAAAATTGGTCTCACATAGTGTTGAGAGCTCACTCAGAACTGGCACAAATTAAATTTCGAAAGGGGGTGGGGTAGATACACATTCAAGTGCAACAGAACGATGAAAGTCTCATCATCATCATCATCATCATCATCATCATCATCATCATCATCATCCTTCTATAGGTTACTCTCCTCAAAACCAAAAAGCAAAACAAAACGAAAACAAAACTATTTCATTCACCGCAGGTATTGGCCTGGCCGACAAGGCTACAGAATGGAAAGACAAGTACGGGCCAGTGTTCACCATGTACCTAGGTCCAAAACCCACCGTTGTTATTTCCAGCATCGAAGCCATGACAGAGGCCTACGTGAACAGTGGCGACGATTTCGCCAACAAACCTCACATTGTGTCTCTTGATGTCGTCAGTGACAACGGGAAGGACATCGCTTTTGCACAAATTTCAGGGGGCGTGAAGTTTAGGAGGAAGACTATCATACAGGTATAGTCACTAACAGAATTGTACTAGATTTTAAAAAGGCAAAAGAAGACAACATTTATTCCCTCCCTCCAAAGAAACAACAACAACAAAAACACCAAATAAAAACAAAAAAACAAACCCAAGAACCCAAGATAAAAGCAACATAACGACAGACGAGAAGGCAAGAAAAAGGCTAAGAACAACAAAAATAAATACTTCCTTTTTTTCTTTTTAGCCCTTCGGCTGGTACTGATGGGTGTCAGCTGTGATTTGGGTGGCTTGGAAGAGGCTCTGTTCGTGAGCTCTGAGAGTGTCCTTTGCAGAGTCGATCCTGAGACATCTTGGTCTCCCTCTGTTTTTCATTGTTTGATTATTTGTTTGTTTGTTTGTTAGAGTAAAGAGAAACACATCGGCACAATAATGATTATTTTTTGTTAGGGAAATGTGAGACAGACAGAAATAACAGACGGAAAGTAGAGAAGTTGGACCTACCAGTGGCACTCTCTACCCACCTGCTCTCCTTTTCCAGTAAGTTGCTTGCACTTAAGGCTCGTAATGCTTGTTGGTCTGTAAACATTCTTGGAAAATGGTCAAACCATAATGCTATTGTTATTCTGTGTTGTTTAATATTGCTGACGACGTGTGTTATTCCTTTAGTGTCCCTGGCCTTTTTGCGCACGATCTCGTCTCTTCTGATCCAGGTTATTGCTTTCCTCAGTCGTTTCTTCTCGCAGGTGGTCGAGTTCTCTCCTTTTTTGGGTCAAGAATCAAATTTGGGACTGGTAGGTCACTGTTGTTATAAATATGGCACTGATCAGTTTATTTTTGGAAAGTGTTTTAAGGTACATGTACTTGCAACACAATTAGGTCAAGTAAATGCGAAGATTAGAGATGTTACAAGAGAGTAATAAACATATAAAAGGAAGAGAGATAAGGACGAAAGATGATTGATAGGAAACAAGGAGAAAACCACACCAGATGACCAGTCAACCACCCGTTCTGGTCAGTATTTTTTTTGCGTCCACTGGGATGTTGAGGTGTCTTTGGAGAGGTCCAATTTAATAACTGACTTCAATTGTTTTCTAGCGTCACGTAATTTCTCTGTCTAGTTTGCCGGCTTCTTTGGTAAAACAGCCTAGGCTTTTGGACTCACAGGCTTGCTTCTTTGGGATCTGCTTATATTGTTGATATGTTTTCCTTGCTAAGAATCATCTATTCTTGGCCTGGCCTGCGTGTTTTACTTCAGTCTAGTATATTTAGAGGGTAATTGTTCATCTTTTAAAAAAAACATTGTGCAAGTTTGATTGTCTGGGGCATGTTTCTTATGTTCCACAAGCCCATTTTAAATGTGTGTTCGTTTTTAAAAAAAGTTCTGGATTTCAACTATTGTCTCTAAAAATCTTTACTCGTCCATGAGCACTTTTACTTTTGCCTTTGCACAATAAATATTCCACCTTTCCTTTCTGCCCAGTCTCTCCGCCAGTACCTGACAGGATCTCAACACGCAGAAAGAATTCACTACATCGTAGAGGCAGCCGTCAACAACATCGGACAAGAAAAAGGCCCTTTTGACTTAGAGAAGCACATATTTCATATAGTCCTCAACGTCTTACACGTACTTTCGTTTGGAAGAATTCTCGATGTCGACGACAAAGATTTCCAAACACTTCACAGATTGATCTCAAACGGTTCAGGCAACATTACAAATAACTGGGAAGATGTGTTCCCGTTTTTGAGGCATTTTCCAACAAAAAAGTTCCGAAAATTCTTAAGCGGTAATGGCGAATTTGTGGCTTACATAAAGAAAGAGCTGGATAAACACAGGGCAAATCTTAACGAAACCGACGTATCAAGTCTGGCTGACGACATCCTGCTGACTCAGCGAAAACTGGCCCAAGAAAAAAACACTACGCTACAGGTAGGTTCTGTGCTCTATTCCAGCCAGTCGATTTTCTCTATTATCTCTCTCTCTCTCTCTCTCTCTCTCTCTCTCTCTCTCTCTCTCTCTCTTTCTTTCTCTCTCTTTCTCTCTCTCTCTCTCTATCTATCTATCTCTCTCTCAGTCTCTCTCTTTCTCTCTCACTCTCTCACTCTTTCTCTCCTTCTCTCCTTCTTTCTCAGTTTCCCTTTTTCTCACCCTCTCACTCACTCTTTCCACTTTTCTCCTCCTCTCTCCCCCCCCACCCCTTTTCTCTCCGTCTCTGCACATATCCCTCTGCCCTTCTCCCGAAGACTCTCTTCTTTTCTCTCATACTCTCCAAAATCTATATCCTTCTCCAATTAACCCTCTATCGCCCCAACGGAGGCAAATGTTCCTTGCCTTCGGAACGACCTACACCATGTCTATAGCGCTGTCAAAAATCGTGCAGCAACTTATTCTAAAATATAATATATTTTAACGGGTACATTATTGTCATCCACAGCAGTTTTGTATCGATTTGTCTTATATTTTTCCACAACATTTGATGTTTGATTAAAATATTTAACTTCTTAAATTTATATAAAATACTATAAATTTCCGTAAAGGACAATGTAATTGTTCACAACCCTTCCCGCTTCTCACACACATTTTGCATACACATTATTTGGCCTACGTCACAGCTTACCAATGCCACTTTTTCGTGGCAAAACTTGTTACAAGAAATTCATTTCAATGTGAACACTTTTTTTGCTCTAAAGGGTCTCAAAATAGGCGTTCAATAAGCATAATGTCGCGATTAGAAAAAAAATGAGTTTGTCCCAGCTGTAAACGTTTTTTTTATACCGGTAGAAACTATTTACTGAGATTTAAAATTGTATTTGTTAAGGAATGTTTCTAGAATACAGCTAACGGGTGTTTATAATATGTTTGATCTGTTACGACAAATTAGGTCAAATCATTGTGCAACAGTTGGAGAGTTTAAGTTCGATAGTTGATAAAACATTTGACAATACTTGGATTTACTTGGATCCAGAGCTAGAATCATAGCAGGCGGCACATGTCCACAGCTGCTCATCTCTCCATTCCAGCGTCCACCTCAGGGTCTTCCTGCTAATTATCTCCATGAGGAGCTGGTTTGAAACACGCCTGACCACTCCTCGGAGCAAACTTTTTTTCGCTGTGCCCCGCACACACTTTTCTTTTATTTGACAATAAGTTGCGCCAAGAATCATTATAGTTGAACGTCTGTCATCACCAACAGCACCTCGCTACCTCAGAATTACAAAATTCTATCAGACAATTTTGGCCGTTCTGAGTTACTAAGACAACGAGTTCAGAAATGAAATATATGCCATCCGTTCTATCAAAATTGTAAAACTGTTCGGAGTCGTTATCAAGTCATTCAAAGAATTGCATTCGCAAAATTTTGACATGTTGGGAAACTCAACATGTTGAACGTCAGATTTCTCATAAACTAAGCACTGGACAGATAGAACTCTGTAATACAAAGGTAGTAGCCTGTCACGTGACATTTATTCCCAGGCTGCCATCACCGATTCTCACGTGATCGTGATGTTGTCTGACGTCTTCTTCGCCGGTGTGGACACCTCGAGACACACTCTCGGCTGGATCTTCCTGTTCCTGGCTTTGAACCCGGACGTACAGAAGAAAGTGCAAGCGGAAATCGATGACATTGTTGGTGAGGTCAAAAGATACACCTCCCCACCCCAATCCCACCTTAAAAAAAAGCCTTAAAAACCCCCCTCTTTTTCCACGACAAGAAAACCCACAAACAAACAAGCAGAGAAACAACGATCACAATTACAAATAAAAGCCAACCAACAAAAAGACTCTTTAGCGCGCGCGTGTAGAAATGTGTGTACATAAGTGTTAGTGTATGTTTGTCCTTGTGTGTGTATGTGTGTGTTTGTGTGTGTGTGTGAGTGTGTGTGTGTGTGTGTGTGTGTGTGTGTGTGTGTG